ACTTTACGATGCTTATCTTGATCATTGAGGTTAAGCTGAATGATGTTTGAATGCTTAAAATTCTCTAACGTGTTGTAGCAAATTTGAAAGACCTCGAATGCTTGAAATTCTTTAACGTGTTGTAGGAAATCTGAACAACCTCGATGTACTTCTGAAGATGATATTCACTACACTCATATGATCAATAGCCATGTTCCCCACAATCATTGCCATTACCTAGCTTTAGACTAAGAGGAGTGGAGTGAGAGTTCTTGTTACCGTGATTGTCGTAACGCATGTACTCTTGATAGGAACGTTGTCGTTTTTTGTTTGTTTGCCGATGCGCTCTGCGAGGAAATTCCATGCTTTTGAATCCGTTAAGGTGAATCAAACGCTGGAGATATAATCAAGTAAGCTGTGAAATGAAGATCGATGTTACGATGCTCTGATACCACTCTAGGAATTTTCTTCCACTAAAGGACAGAAATCACAGTTCACACACACTAGAATTTACTGACGAGATTCAGCTCGAAAGCTTAATCTACACGAATCACTCAATGAAGGTAGTTTGAGTATATAATCAAGATCAAGGTCATCATACTTTTCCTCCTCATCGTCTTTACAAAATTTCAGTCCGATGAAAAATACACACAGAATCAATCACTTCTATTTCTTGAGCAAAACGATCCCATACTAAGAGATGATTGTCTCTCTCAATATGTTTTCCAATTCTCACATTAAACTTTTCTTGAGATTGTCTACTTGTGATGGATTCCTTAATACATTCACTGATTTATAATGGTAAACTATCACCCTGACTTATAACCGAAAAAAATCTTAATGAATCAAAGCCGTCAATTTCTATACAACCCATAAGATATTAACACATGAGCGAGCCGATTACTAAACAAAAAGCTTAAAATGATCTCGCAAATTATCATGAAGTTTACTAAAATTCATCTTAAACTTCTTCTTTCTTTGTAGTAAATAGTATCTCATGGGATGATTTGACTTGCACACCTTTGAGATATGGATTAAACGTATGGAAAGTTGATAATTCCAATCCAATTACCACAGAGTTTCATATCCACTATCAAGATTCAAGATATTCATGTTAGAATTACATACTCTTAGAATGCGTACAAAATATCAAATAGTTTAGTATTGTAGAAACCGACTTTATTTTGTTAGAACTAAAGTAGAGGTTACTTATAATATTTATATAGTTACTTTAGCGCGCATTAGTCATAGTTACCATGTCAGCGATTCACGTGCTTGGTAGATAAAGAGTAAGTGTGGTAGTTGACTGCGCCACATCAGCTATTAATGTGCTTGTTAGTTAAGGATTGAGTGTGTTAATTGGGAGCACCATGTCAGCAATTCGTGTGCTTGTTAAGATTATCCGTCACATCAATCATCACTAGGAGTGGGATGGATGGTAAGTATAAGATCTTATCTCCTTGTACTTGTTGGTAAGAGCTATATAAAGAAGAGTAGAACCATTGTTGTTATCTTTACTCTTCGAAATTTATGTTTTAATCTTCGAGTGAGATTTTCTCTAAATCCTAGTGTAACAAGTATGTCGTCTTATGTTAGTTGTCATCTTATTCTTAAGTTGAGTAACAAACCAAGATATCAAAATTGTAGCCGTTGTGGTGATTAGGGATAAGACACCACTAGAAAACAAGATATCCTCGATTATATGTATTCATTCACTTCATTAATAATTTAATCAACTTGATTACAATCAGCGTATACAAATCGTATATTTTCTTTCCTCACAACATCAACGAGCGAATGTCTTGACGTCGGATTTTCGTCTTGTGTATTAAAAATTTTATTTTTTGTTCGCCGTCATGGATTCTTTGAAGTAAGCGGAGGAGATCAAATCCACGAAGATGCTCGATAAAGTCAACAGTTACAGCTCTTGGGCTGCAAGAATGCGAACCATCTTGAGCAAGAAGAAATGATGAGCAGCGGTCTACAAGTCAACGCATCTACCCAAATTATTAACTCTTATGGACATACCATAGGAATCAATGCTCAGACACGTGAGAATGTCGTTTCTGTTAGTATTGAATGCGAGACAAATAATGAAAAAACTAAGGAGATTACCGATACTCTCTTTGAAGAATGAAACGATGCTATCTATCATATAATGATGAATGTCAGAGAGCACATTATGCACCATATTTTTGCCCTTACTAATATTCATTTCATGTGGGTTGAACTTGAAACATTGATTGACTCTGCTAGCAAGGATAATCTTCAACTTCTTCACCGAAAGCTTTCCACTTTGTCAATAAGGGAGGGTCCGAGTTTCATATGTGTGCAATCAATAAACTGACTAACCAACTTTTCAACTGTAATGATAGTGTGACAGATTAAAAGCTTATTGCCTTGATACTCATGAGTTTACCCCCAAGCTGACATGCTTTTGCTTCTTCAATCAAAGCTTCTATTCAGCATCTCACCCTCACATTCACTCATCTTTTCACACTGCTGAATGACAAAAAGATGATCATGAAATCAGGTTAAACCTAACCGGTGTCTCTACCGAATCACTACTTGTCTCTACTCAGCAGCAATCATACCACGATGATCGACGTAGCAACAACCATGGCCGAGACAAAGAGTATGACTGTGAACAACAAAACAAAAGGGATCAAGATGATCGAGGTCCTCCAATCTCATATCGTCGTTTGCATAACGATCAAAATGTTTCATAACGATCATAACGTTTGCATGTGATCGTTATCACATGTATGATTTTTGTGACAATTATTGAGTTCAATCTCATGTGTAACAATATTATTATAGTTCTCATCGATTGCCACAATCTTTGACAACAAAGCATCAACATCAATTCGTCACAACAAAGCGTATCAAGTTTCAGTTCTTGGAATCTTTTGCCAGCAATGGAAGTTGACATTGAGAAATGTGATGGCCTTGGAAAAATCTGCATCTGGCGTCAAAAAATCCTAGCGCTTCTCTCCAGCAGAGATGGCTCAAAGTCATCTCCGATCCAGTGTTATGGCTTGAAGATATTTCCCAAGATCAAAGAGAAAAAATGTCTGAAACGCTTATGGATATCATAATCTTTTCTCTGTTTGAATTTGATTATCCGTCTAATTGACAAGGAAGACACACTAACGAAGGTGTGGAAGAAGCTTGAGGAAATGTTCAAATCTCGTTCTCTTTCCAACAAGATCTATATGAAGTAAAGTCTATTTGGATTCATGATGGACCAAGCAAAGTCATTAGAAGCCAACTTAGACAAGTTATTGAAGATGACGATCTAGCTCGCAAATTTTGGCGACAAGGAATAGCTCAACGACGAAAATAAGACAATCATTTTCTAAGTTTCCTTCTAAAGACATACTGGAAGGTGAAATCGGCAATCACGTACGGGAGTTCAGCGATCACACTTGATGAAATGATATCCGCGTTCAAATTTCATGACTTGAAAATCTGAGCAGACAAGAAGACCTCCAGGGATGACGAATATCACATGGTTCGTGACAAATAGCAGCGCAAGAGTAGCGATGGAAGCAACTCGAAGCCCAAGAATAACGGCAAAGTTGAAAAAATTTCTTGGAAAATATCAAAGTTAGTAAACTTGATTTTAACTAACATTGAATTTTGGCAAAAACAACACAGTAAGAAATTTCCAACCAAAAAATACACTTCTACACAAGTTATTGAGTACATTCACTCAGATTTCATATTTGTGATATCCCTCAAGTATAGCAAATCTCAACCATGTAAGTGAGAAGGTTCTACAATTTATGAATAATCAAAATCTATTGGAATATATCAAAGTTAGCAAATTTGGTTTTGGCAAAAAGAATACAAGAAGAAATTCCCAACCGTGAAATGAACTTCTACACAAGTTATTGAGTACATTCACTGAAATTTCAGATTTGTGATAGCCTTCAAGTATAACAAATCTGATAGGATAACTTCTGGTTCTTATCTATCATTGATGACTTCTCAAGAAAAGTTTGAAAAAAATTGAAGTTTTTGAAAAACTTAAAAAACGTAAAATTTGGATATATTTATTGAAACACAAAAATCTAGCTTTTGAGAAATTTAAAGAATGAAAATACTGAATATATTTGTTGAAACACAAAATTCTGGTTGAAAATCTGATAAATAGATTAGGACTTTAAAAATAAATAATGAGATTGTTTTTTCTTGTCAATAATGGACTAATCCAAATTCTAGTGCTGCGAGAAACCAATTTAAGTGGATCCCGAGTAGCAAGCTTCAACTGTGTCCATCTTGATTCCGAGTGAAGTTACAAGACATTCTAAACCCGCTTAGTTAAAACTACCAAAGTAATTTAACTCGTTCACCCATCACCGAAGTTCTTCCAGCATCGACCAAATGTTTCTAACCTTCTTTTCAAAGGTCATTAACAAGAAGCTTGAAGTGCACATTCACAATTTAGACAAGGTCAACAGCTGAACAACACACAATAGTCTGTAGCAAGCATTTCCTTAGGCAAGTAAGGAAGATATATGGAAACGATTGAATGTCTCATAACACTGACTTCGTTGTAAGACTTCATTGTTAGATCAGGGAAGGAATTACATTATCACATATATTCTAGAACATTGAACTCTACATGTATTATTTTGGAACGCTAAATCCAATATAGTAGGAGAAATCATAGCACATTTCAAACAAGCTTTTCCAGTTATTTCTAACGTGCATTGCTGTTACAGTGTTGTAACCAAAGCCTACACCTAACCTGCAGAATATACTGCATGGACTAAAGAATTACAAACTTCTGACAGAAAAAGTGCCACTACCTTGTCCCTGTGTAAAATAGCAAGGGATGAAGGTCATTTGTAGACAACTGCGTACAGGGAATTTAACACGGTAATTGTTTGTTTCCCCATAATGCTGGTAGGGTGAACCAACATCGATAATGCTCCTAGCAATTACAATTCAAAATAATGACGCTAAAGAAATACTGACAAGCACGATCAAAATTAACTGAACAAGTGCATAACGCATGTTGTATTTATTAATTACAAGAGAAGAATAATGCTTTGTACAATGTTAGCACGCTGTCAGAACTATCCATCTTCAAATTCCTCTCAATTATTCCCGGCTATCACAAGAGAAAAATGGAACAAACTAAGTCATCTAGCTACCTATCTCTCAAACTCAATTCTGCGATCGCTTTGACTGGTTAGTCAAAACGTATTTTTATTGTACAAACGCTGGTGACTTATCATCCACCTCTTGTCTCTTGGCGCCCATCTTCTCAGAATTCCTCTCCACTTCGTCCAATGCCTCGTTATTTTTCTCCCCATTTACTTCGATCTTATCCTCCTCTTCCTTGTTAGATGAACCACCAGAGTTTCCGTACAAAAGATCGACCGCCTTCGAGATCCAATTCTGTGGCGCAGTAGATGAATCGGATTGCAGGTTTTCGACCGTGGAGTTCTGTGGAGTGATAGGAACGGTTGACTCGTGCTTGGGAGAAAAATTCGTCTTTTCAGAAGCCCACTGAGCCCACGATTGACTTTGTTTCTCGTGCTCACCTGATCCCTCTTTCGTCTCAGACAGATTCTCTGTCTGGTCATCCGCTGGCAGGTACCCAATCTTGGCGCCTATGGTGCCAACAGCAGATCCTAAGACAGAAGTAACAGAAGATACTGGGCTCTTCCCCTCCTCTGAATTATCCTCCAACGAAACCTTCTCTGAGTCTTTGTTCACTCTATCCACCTCGTCGGAAGCATCATCGAAATCCAAGTGCGCATCCTGTGCGTATTTTTCCTGCTGCTGGCCGAACTCATCAGTATAATGAGACGGAGAGGAGTTTCCTTCTTTGTCAGCAACCTCAGGTGTCTGTTTTTCGAGGCTCGATTCATCGAGCTCTGGGTCGAGGAATACCTCCCTTGCAGGTTCAGCCTCTTCTCCAACCTGAGAAAAAAACAAGCAACTGTAAGGAAAAACAAGATGCCCACTATGAAACCAAAATTACAGACATACCCATCACGAAGAGGAACCAGCTGAGATGAATTCTTGCCAACGAGGATGATCTATTGGTAATGTGAAGACAATGGGCAGCTGAATATGATCGGTCTACTTGACATACCTTGTCCTGATCGTTTGTTGAGGTATCTTTGGAACTAGGAGAGCTCAAGCGAGCTCCTTCACCATCGTAATCTCGACCACTGACTCCAGGCACACCGGGACCTTGATTGTAGGTAGGCTCTTGTACTCCCGTTGAGTCTGCTGTGCTTCGCAGATCTGCTGCATCGGAGGAGGAAAACATGCTTTCTGATAGCTCTGCGCGTTGTGGTACGGGCAGTTCCACATCCGGATCCCGAAGAGGAAACTTAGAGCCTTTCTCAGAGCCTCTGGATGTGACAGCCTCATCTGTGGACGATGGCAGCTCACGGTCTGCCTTCTCTGTGAAGGACGGGGTGTCAGATTCTCCTTGGGCGATATCCTTTGACTCATTCTGAGAAACGGCCGCTTCGTCGTTGGGAAGTTCATTATCAGCTTTCTCGGTGAACGACCTCTTACCTTCACCGCTTGGAAGCTGTGAATTTGCTGATGACTTAGACGACAGATCCGTCTCCTTCCATGAGGATTGCTTGGTGAACTTGGTCTCTCTGGACTCATCACCTAGTTCCTGAGACATAGAATCTCTTTCTATAGCGTCCATATCCTCCTGTTCCTGCTTTGTCGGAGGAGACGTATCTTCAACACTCTCGCCGAACTGTCCGAAGGATGAATTCGAGAATCTACGCTCTTCAGGCTCTTCAGTGGCTACGACCTTGTCCTCTTCTGCAACAGAATAAGATTTACAATTCTTAGCTCCCGGCAATGAACTACCAATATCTAGTTAGAAGTGCCAGAACCTTGATGCTGTTTCTTACATCAAGCTCTACTCAGATATTCATGCGAGTAATGAATTGCATACATCAACTTAGCACAGCAGAGCAATCCTCGTAATATTTGCACATGTGAAAAGCAATTTGCGAAATAAGAATTCTCCCACCTTTGGGCTTCTCTGGAATCTCTCCCAGATCGTGTGATGATTGTTCGCCCACGTCAGAAACTGAACCGTGCTCGATAAGGGAAGAAGGCATGGTTGCATCGACGGACGCCCGTGGACTCGAGTAATCGGTAGGCACCGATGTCAAGCCATGAGAACTGCCATCATGTTCGCCTTTGGTGGATCTAAGAAAGTTATCATACTCTCTTTGCTGGGGCTCATCGCCAACATTTGGATACGCACTCGATCTGGAAGGACTCACTGTAGAACACCAAAGGATTGGAATGTCAGCTTGGTATCACAGTACCCAGCTGAAGGTGAATCAATTTAAACATAACAAGATCCCATTCTTCAAAATTTACAAAACATACAGATATCGGTACTAAGATTTGATTAGTAGCATAATGCTGACCTCCAAAACTATCTTGAGACTTGCCATTGTTCACGTAAGAGCCGTCAGCCGCAATGCCAGATGTTGCTGTTTGATGCGGGGTCTGTTGAGAATCAGCGAGAAAATATTAGAATAAAGTCGGAAACCAGCGCAAAGCTACAAGCACTCAAGCACAGTGATAAAACTGGATCTGAGAAACTCATTAACTGACAAACGCATACCTGAGCATCAGAATCAAAATGGTCGGTGTCCTCCTCTGTCCCCTCACTGGCGTCTGAATCCTTATCTTTCTTCAGCTTTGTCTTCAGTTTGTGCATCTTGTCCTTGGCTTTGTCCTTCATTTTGCTCATAAGAGATTTCTTTTCGCCATGCGGGCCATTATCACTATCCCCAGTCTGATCACCAGGGTTGTTGATACTCATACCCTCCACTTCTCGATCAGCTGTTCAGAAGCATGAGTTCAATATCTTGCTCAAATTTTGCCCCAAGAACTTTTGAAAGACATTACAACTCTGGCAAGGTCTACATCCATGTACCCTTCTATATTAATTGCATTCGACATTCACCAAGCTAACACATAGCCCTGGCTGTCTACCGAAACTGAAAAGGAAGCTCCACAGGTTCGTACAAATGACCAGAACGGGTTCACCAGTGGGAAGGTCTATATCATGAAAAGGACAGGGTGAACTCGATCTCTAGAAACCACGATTCGACTCCAAAAACTTGAGATAAGTGCAGAGAGTACTTCAACGACAGTCCTCACATGCTACTGTGCAAAGATCATTGATTCCATATTTGTACCGACACCCAAGTAGATTCAATGTATGTACTGTAAGTCAAGACACATACCAGCCGAGACGTCAAAAGAATCCTCGGGTCTGGAATGCTGAGGCTGATCCATTTCTGTGAACTTGAGACTAACGTTCCTTACGTTCGATGGATAATCTGCAGACTGAAATGTTGACAGCCGTGGCAGCTAGTGTACGCTTTTCTTCGACCCGGCTCTTTCCACTTCCTTTTTTTTCAGTATCTGTCGCCGACCAGGTCAGAGTTAGTTCGATCCGATCCAACATTACTTCTGGCACGTATTATCAGACTCTTACTCATTCACGTGCCCTCAGATGGAACATGTCCTGCGTAGTATCATTCAATCGCCTCGGTAAGAAGCATCGTTCTAGGAGAACCCAAGCCCTTTCCTGCACATCTAATCTTTCACACACCGCAATTCCTTGGACTTGGGCCAAGTGAGAATTGTCTAACCTCAACATAAGCGCTGGAAACATGCAGTCCTGGACCACAGAACAACATATTCAAACATGTATGCTAAAAATATGAAAAGCCCGTCATGCGCCATCAGCTCTACCAAAAAGCAGTAGCTAAACTCAACACATTGCTGTTAGTAAATAGCACGAACCTATGAATCCAAGTCCTCAATCAAGCAGGTTCATCGAAATCATGCTTCTGTAAAACTCTGTACAGCACTAAGTGTAAACTGCAAACTCCACAGGTCGACTAGAGGTGGACGTGAATGAGTGCATCTTCCACTCATAAATTCGGCAGCCGTGCAAGAGTTGACTCACTTGAGGTGATCCGTGGATGAGCTCCAGAATTGGGACCTGTGTCGCAAGCAACGACGATCTCTAGCTCAAGAATCACTGAATCGATCTACTGGTATGGTGCGAGTTTTGGTTCAGACTATACTTGCTCCCCGCAGACAGAGCAAAGCCAGAGCCGCCACGCAGGATGCGTTGACGTAGCCACGTATGCTTCATGCATACACGTGTAGGCGACTCGGAGCATCCACCGCAACAACGTCTTGTCCCGGGCAGAGCAAGTGGCTTCACTGATTCATTGGCGCCCACTTGGCACGAATGTAACTCAGCACAGGTAAAAGATGGATTTTGGTGACCTTAGCACCGTCCGATGAATATCGTGGTACTTCCCCGGCCTTCATGTCTTTGAATCTCACTCAGAAAATGTTTGTGCACTTTTGTCACCTTGGTCTCTACAATTGAAAATAAATAAGGTTCTTTATTGTTTTTCCTTTTATTATGAACACACATTCTACAATTTGCATGTATGAAAACTTGGAGTTGCAGTTGGAGACAGTGCATCACCAAAGAGATGAGATGAGATAGGTGTTTATCTTGACTTTCTTCCTCCTTGCTCTGTACTTTAGTTATTGCGGCTTTTATCCATGCATCTTCCTTCTTGTTAATGCCAAATATATCAAGCAATAACCAAGATCAAGATTATGTTCTGAAGAACCAGGCGTGATGGAATGAGTGTGAACAAGGTCACATTACAACTCAACTTCAATATATCATTTGGATTCGTTATATTATTGTGGATAAAATTCTATGGATTTCTGTTCACAAATATTATATTTGTGATTAAAAGAGTCTCTGCAGATTTTATCCATATATTTGAAATATATGGATAAAATCTGCAGAGACTCTTTTTTTCCTGTTCGTTTTGAATATGGGTTTAGTTCATCTGCTTTTCGGGCTAGTTGGAACTTACTGTTTAAATATTGATCTTCAGGACTTGAATCAAAGGAGCTTGTTGTCATGTAAAACTTTGAAAAATGATAGAAGATCCTCTAGAATAGCAATATATGTGAATGAAGATCATTCCACTTCGAACTAGCTTAAATCTAATAAGATTAATAATATGTCCTTAAAATAGAATAGTTCTATTTAATTCTTATCAAATAATTGAAGTTGCAATCAGATTAAATCGCAAAGTTGAAATTTATGTTACTAACATTTATGTTAGATGACGAGCATTACAAACAAACTATTCCAATTTGGGTATTAAAAAATTAATCTTTTATTTCTTTAACTAAATTGGAAGAGAAAAAAAAGAATCCCTTTTTTAAAAATGAAGAAAAAGATTAGTTCAAAAAAATTATAAAATATTTGATTTGATTTATCTCGAAAATTTTATTTTTAATATCTCAAAATTTTCTATTGATAAAAAATATAATATATCACTAACTACCATCAAAACTTAAAAAATGAAAATTTTAAAAAAATTCATACATGTAGAAAAATGACAATTTTTATAATTTTTTGAAACACATGTTATGTTATAGTAAAACATTGAGTGACTGCATTACCCAAAAAAATTGATATTTTATGTATAAAAATCATTTACTTCAACCCCAAAATTCAGTTTTCCTAAGTTAGACTAGATTTTCAAAATAGGTGTGAAAAGCTGTCCATATCAGTTTAACTCTGAAGAATTCGTTTATCTTGAAACAATTTCGATTAAAAAATTCGAAAAATAGAAATTTCTCATTGAATTTTGTTGGGAATGATTCAAATCCGACTTATTAAAAGTATTAGTATTTCATTCATGAATTTCAATTCAGATCGATAATTTTTTCTCTTGATGAAAGCAATTTATTTCTAGCTTTTTCAATAACCTTGTCTCATATTCAATCTACCAACAAATAGAGAAACCAGTAATTTTGAAACCTTTGTTGATATCAGTAAGTATTCGGAACCAAAAATTATGTAGACTTTCCTCTGTTTACAGATTCAAAAATCAATATCATATCAAAATAATCAATAAATTTAAAAAAATTGCCTTGAAACATTCAGCATCTTTAAATTTATTTCTGTTAAGAACTTTTATGACTCAGTTAGTCTGAAAAATGAATACTTTCACTAGAGCCAATCAGGTGAACTTTGGAGGTGAAATCTGGTATGAAATATCAGTTTAGAACTTGATATATTTAAAAATAATCTAGTTCTATATGAAAATTTTCTGTTTCCGGAAAAAAAATTCCTCAAATGATTCTCAATTTTTCTAGACAGTTTAAATATTACTAAAAAAATCATAAGAGATCTAATGCTGCATGATTGATGCAGTTTTCCAAGGTAAATTGTTTTTTTCATAACAAAGTGGTTCTAAAAGAAAATTTATCTTCGCAAAATATACAAATATCTCAAGCATATTTTAATTCGTGTTTAAGTTCGTTATAAAATCTAGTAGAATATTAAAGCTAGGAAAATATCAAAGCTGCTTGTATAAACCGCGATTGAATATTGATTGAACCACATGTAGTACAAATTGGCTAAATTTTGATATTCTTTCATCGAAGAGGGAAAACATCAGGTATATGAGGTTACGGTATCAGCTTGTGAATGGCAAAAAATATAGCTGACTCTTGGTGGTCGGAATACTTGTCAGCACTTTTAAGAAAGGTAAGTACGTGAGCTTGGGCTCGTCCTAAAGATTTATATGTTTACTGACTTAGACATATCTAAAATCGTACAAAATCTTTGTTTCAAATTCGTCAAACCAAGTAGGTTTTGACTAGTTCAGACATGTGTGATCATGATCAAAAGAGCTTGCAGTAGTTGGAGCAAGAGAAACATTTTTTTTACCATTTTTTGTTATGAGCATTATACTTTTATCTTATGATGTGAATGATCAGTACATACTCTTGGGATCATCCTCAAAAGTGCTCTCTCAAGTGGTCCTATCAAATATTTTGCTATCTTCCTGTTTGCTGAACAAAAGAAATGCCGTGGGGCTGTCATCAATTCGGAAGATTCAACACTTAGAACCAATAATGTTCTGCCATGTATTTCTAGTTGCCAATGCTACCAGATCTGATTTTCTCCAAGATTCTTAAGGCTGTCTGATAGCTATTAATAAATCATGTCGGTAGTCGTAAAACAGCTCCACGAAGTCCCCATCTTATTTGCTATATACTTCACCTTTGAATATAAAAGTCCTCGAACAAAACAAAGGTTAGCTTTCCAAGTATTCATAGCTGTTGAACTGCTTCTCAACCTACCAAGAATACGAGGTGCTCGGAAAAGAAGATACTCTTTTTCTTTCGTTTACAATTTGAGTTTCTTTTTTACTACGCGCTGAGCTTTCTCCAGAGAATTACTTGATCAACAGTTTTTTTTGTAGAATAAATTAATATAGAATGATTTTTGTATACCGAGTTGATTTCGGAATTTTAAACCAACACAAACATGCTCTTTTGGGCGTGTTCTTAACGCGTGAATGAGTCACAAGTGAAGAAGCTATGCGATCTCGACAATTCGTTAGTCTTCTAATAAAATGTTAGTGACAGAATCTAAAACCATGGCCTTAGTAGAGCATCCCCAACTTTCGACTCAACTACACTAGTATGATATAATGTACCGATAATGTATGTGTACTTTGTTAATAGAATATGATGAAATTGAAAACAAGAAGAATGAGATATTCTTTCAGAGGAGTCATGCACCTAACTCACCAGCATCTCGCGTTTGTCACGCGCAATCTCCAATGCATCTTTATCTCTAAAGCAGCGGTGAGAACCCTTTACAATTAAAAGAAGCAGAAAAAAGCCAAGAGTCCGGAAAATTGACTTCGAATCTTAGACTTTATAATTTGGAAAGAGGTGAGCTGAATTAAGGAACAAGGGGATACGGTTACAGCATTGAAGGTGGGGCATGTATTGCCGCACTATAATAAAGCCCAAAAATATGTTTCAGTCCACGTCCGCAGCAGATACCAGATTGCAACATTGCCGGTTAGATATTTGTCGCCTAAGATAGTCCGAGAGAATAATGAAGTCCGCGACAGCTTCGGAATGGAGACCGGTGTTAAGGCGAACTTCCGAGGCCGACGTGGATACTGGAGGCAGGCTGAGGTGGCCGAAGCGGAATCGACACAACTCCAACTCCATCGGACTCGTTTCGGGAAAAGAGCATCAAAGTGCGAACTTTAGATTCCGAGAGAATCGTTTAGTCCGAGACAGCTTCGGAATGGAGACCGGTGGTAAGCCGGACTTCGGAGGCCGACGTGGAAACTGGAGGCAGGATGAGGTGGCCGAACCGGCATCGACACAACTCCATCTCCGTCGGACTCGTTTCGGAAAAAGAGCATCAAAGTGAGAACTTTAATTTCGTCTCGCTATCCACGATTCGTGAATCGTGAGACGATCGGCTCCCTCGCCCTCGTGCATACTTTCGCCTCATTCTCCAGATTTGTGCTTTAATTTGCTCGAGGCTCGGGTGCTGAAATTGCAGATCAGTGAACGACGGTCGAGGTGTGCAGGGCACTCCATACCTCGGAAAAGGAAGCAGGAGACTCTAAATTGGGAACCGGGGGGGCCACTCGTCGGCACGTCGGAGGCTCGAACTTGCTGTTTCCGGCTGCCATCCGAAACAGCGAGACAGCGAGCCGCGATCGTAGCCTCCGCCAAAGATACACGCGCGTTGCAGAGTCGGCAGAGCCATAGACGCGCTAGGCGCCAAAACAGTTGTGGATAAACTAGAGGCTTAGTTTAGAAGGACAACTCCAGATGTCGAACACCGGCCGGGTTTGGCTGCCCGTACTCTGCGGGCGGGCCCACGCACAGAATCACGGGCCAGGCTCGCAGCGTCGGGCTCACCGTCGGATCCGATCCGGGCACACGTGTTCTGCCCCGAAAGCCGGATCGACATGGCGAGCCGGGGAGACCTTTTGAGCGTATCGTGTGCCACGTGGTGGTGGCACGACGAGAGGATACTGCTCGCCAGGTGGAGCCCTGGTGGCGAGGTGGGACGGATCCGATTGGATCAAAGCGAGGGCCGAGTGCGCACAGGTGGCAGAGGGGCTCCAACGCCAATCACAGACAGAAACTGGAGCTTTGGACTAAAGAAAGGTATCGATTCGCGGAAATGCCACTGAAACTCCGCCCTCGTCGAAATCGCGAGCTGCAACTGCGAGTTTGGTTCGGTCGCCACGACGCCCCGCGCTGTTTTAAAGTTCCCGACATTGCGGACTTCGAGACGCACTTGCTGCGTTCTTTTCTCTTCTGTTCTGTTTTGATCCGATCCGATCCGATCCGACTCGATTTCTGAGAAATGTCACTGCTTCGAGCATTTACTCGCAATTGACGGGCGCTCGCTCTTCCGCTAGCTCGCGACGTAGAGAACGAGAACGAGAAAGAAAGAAGGAAAGAAAGAAGACGGCTGAAGTGCAGATCGATCGATCGATCTCATAGTGAGTGGTTTCTTGCCTTCCTCGACGCTTTCAATTTTGTCAGAAGCTGCTCTGCGGCTTGAGGCCTGTACATTTGAGAACTTTAATTTCTGCGAGAAGGCTCTTGGGAGGAATGCGCATTGTTTCGCTTGCTCGAGTGGACAGTCCGGCGGAGTGAGCGTCTCGTCTTCCTGATTCTTCTTGATCTCCCTTATAGTGATAAGGATTGTTGTGAGCGTGGAGGGAGTTGGAGTGCGGGGCATTACTTTTTCATATTACTGAGTCTTAGCCACATTTTGTAGTCGCAGTAGGGCGACAATCGAATTCTGTCTTTTTGAACTTGTTTTCAGTACATCGGGAATTGGGACAAAGCCCGTATGAATGAATCCGTGGGCGAGTGAAGAGTTGGATATAATCCAGATCTGGATCTATGCTTGAGGGATCATAGAGCTTGGATTGTGACGTTAATTGGAGCACGTTCCTAGTGTATGGATCTTCTGCTCGTTTTGAGTACCAAACTCTTTGAAGCATTTTGCTCACTTTTCTGATGATGTTGATTGAGTTGAACCCAAAACCCTTGCTATTTGACGTAGCTTGTTGGTATGTTGTAGTGGTGGGAAGTGGTCGGTGTGGAGATCTAGTGCGGATCGTCAAATCTTGATGTAGTTGCATTGCCTGTGTTGACGAGCAGGTTCAAAATTCTGCCAACTCCTGCAAATTGGCTGGCAGTCTGACTGCACACTTCAGCGTCGTCGCTGATTTAGAGATACAACCAACTATTAAAACTTTTGTTGGACACATTAGTTGAGGAATTCCATTGCTCTGCGGACCAGCTGAAGGTCGGAGTTCCAAATGGAACAACAGGGCAACAACCAGGAAGAGTCCAATGGGACGAACGCGTTGGGAAGAGTGAAAGACAATATTAAGGATAAGGTGCAAAGAGTTAGGTCAAAGTTGCATCCGAACCACGAAGCTGATGAGAGCAACTCAGAACCGCATGAAAGTTCCCACTCAAACGTTGATCGTTCCAATATCGAAGACTTCCCGTATGATGGTACCTGCGATGATGAATTCTCTATTGAGGTATGGAAGCTTAACCCAGTCGTTCAGCAAGCCGGAGCAATATACATATGTTCCTCGTGTACGTCCGATTAGCATTACTGAAGTGCTGCGAATAATTGCTATGTGTGCAGTTGGCCTCGATAGCTGACGAACAAAGGGACGAAATTGGAAGCCCCATGTCCCAAGACTCAGGCCGACACTCATTCAACTCCACAGGTATTTCTATGCAGACAAAGAAGTGTGGCATTTTTTGACATACTCTTCGGAACTCTTGTCGAGCCTAGACGTACAGACGCTTCAATCTGTTGTTTTCTATCACGATAATGTGGTCCGAGACACTGTCTTGATCTACCAAACACTTGGCTTCTTAAAGTCCGTTCGTCACTAGGCCGCAACACTTCACAGAAAGCTGGTGTAAGCTTCAAGACAGATTTGGACTTTTGGATAAATGACCCCAAATACTTAATGAAAGTGAAGTTAGTTCATTATGTGCTTATAATTTTTGGGTTTTAGATGTTCGGAGTGTAATCCATCTCTCATTTGGTATCGAGATGCAGGCATCCTTTCTAGTGTAGCAGCCTTTTAGGAAGCGAAGGTAGGTAGGACATTCCGCGTTTCTAGAAAGAGTAATTTATTTATCTTCCTGATAAAAGGAAGATAACACGTGAAGTTGCAGTGGCTGATCTGCTTTGATCTGATGATGCAGTATCAGGAGTCAGCTGGACGTCAACTCAGAAGACGATAGCAGGTTTGGGTATGGATGAAGTGGGCTCCCAGGAAGTCCTAGGCCCTTACAAGCGTGTCGGATCTGTCCAAGCTTTGGAGGCCGTCCCTACTGAGTACAGAGATTATAACAACAATAGGAACAGAGATGATGCTCATTCTGCCGGAAATATATCCTATGCAAGTAAGCAGCGACTTTGTTTACAGTCTGTTCCTAAAACATATGGCAAAGTCCCCACTGTCAAGATAAAACTTTCTAGTTCAGCTTCTTTTTGCTGTGTCATTTTCTAGCTACTAATAGAACGCAACACGCTGATGCCACATTATGTACTTCGCTCGGTCACACAAATCACTTCTGATAACTTCAATTCCAAAATGCTTTTGTTGCAGGATCTCCATCACAATCCTCGACCCAGAGCATCTCTTCTTCTTTGTACAACGACCTTTCGAGCATTTCTGATCGAGATTTACAGGTCCCAGAAGGTATCATCAAAGCTGATGGTTTCGATTGTGAGTTTGACAAAGAAATTAGTCCGTCACCGAGCCAATCATATGGAATGGAGCAGGATATTTCGAAAATGAGGCTGAATGGCTCAACTTAGTAAGCCGACTACTGAAGCGGATTAGGCCGATTCCAGAATCTTATATCTTGGAGGGATTTGACAACTTTGACTCAACGGCGACAATAACGGGAGGAAATAGGACCATGAATACCTTACATTACAGGAACTTTCCTGATAAAGCTGTAGTACCTACTGCGACCAGGCTTATCGGTGGAAGCCTTGAGTGAGCAGACTTTGGTGTGGAGCAAAGAGATGGACGTGACGGCTGAAGCTGGTACATAGCGGCTCGTGAAACCTTTAGGGTAGTTCACATTTTAGAGTCCTTCTCTGTCAATGAGCTACTGTTTCCATAAGTGGAACTCTTAGGTTGGACCTTTTAAGAATCGGAAAATTATGCTCTGATCTACTCCATTTGGCCAACGTGTTGAAACTCACGTCAACGATGGCGCGCAGGTTTTTCCTGCACTTCTTGCACCTGCTCATTATTGACTTCCTGAGTTATTTTTGATTCCTACTTTGAGATCCCGAACAGTCTGCCTGGTGAAAACCTGATTTTTCGCACTCAGGAAGAGTCCAGGTCTAGTCTTTCACACATCATGTCTGGAAGATACTACCTCGTCATCTCCATGCTGCGGGCTGGTGAGCAGGTACTAGTCTTGGTGGGGGGATGAAGGACCCTTTCCATATTCAGTTTATGTCATGTCTTTTCATCCGGTCTGAACTTTCCCTCAGCTGGGTGCGTAGTTCGAAGCCAATTTCACCACTGTGGAAGTGCGTGTTTCTGTTGCTCAAATGTAGAACTTGAAAATGTTCTTAAAATTACTTCAATAATTTATTTCTAGTTTGAGCCAGAGACACTGAACTCTTTCTTTACTATGATTAGTAAATGTATTTTACAGATTGTATTAGGATGAAGTTAGAAGATGATGAGCAAATTCATCTCCTTCTACGTTGCACTGTTAAGATTGGCATGCTTCAAATTACGGGAGTTTGCACAGGGGCTGGTTACACATTGCCGCCTGCACGCATAAAGGTTGAGTACACATTGGTTGTACACACATGGGGTTCATCACCGAGTCACTTGTAAGTGACCTTTCGCTGGAGAAGAAGTGCAAGAACGATTCCCATGTGACTGCTCCCAATCCTGCATCATATGGAGCAGACGGCGATTTTATTGGAATGTGCTATATTAAATAATCGGAGAATGCAGGTAGGATCGACCCCCACGACCAATTAGCTTAGAACATGGAAAGGCTGTATATAGACAAAGCTTGCCTTCGGTATCAATTCTGTTGAAGACACCTTCGAAGGTTTCTCGCTTGCCATCTTTGTTCTTAGCCCTGGATAATTGCATAAATGCAGCAATCTACACGTTCACAAAGACTACTGTTAGAATATAGGCCACTTTTCCTTCTGGCTCCGGCGGAAGGTTTCAATAAGATTATGTAAGCAACGCTTTGAGTAAAGAAAATTTGGCACTTACATCTTTATCCCGCTTCATAGCCTCCATCAGCTGTCTCTTGCTGATAGTCCTGCGTATTCAAAGTTGACGCTATGACGAATGAGTTTGTCAACAATTTGCACAAGGTAGCATGTTCCAGTGAAAGTCATGTGCATGCCTTAAACCGCCATCCCTTGCCAAAGGCGTCACAGTATTGTAACTTACCCAACTTTCTCAATATCGATTTTGTTAAACATTTCCAGCAGCCGCTGATACTCCTTCACAGACAATCCTACTGCAGCTGCTAGTGAGTGTAAATATGCCACATCGCGAGCTGTTTGACTTGCTTTTCTCAGATGACCAAAGGCGGCGCTTAATTGTTCCAATGCTCTGTGGATGTAACAACCAAAACCTGTTACCCCTTTAGCAAAGGAGTATGTTGAGCCATACAGAAACATCGCACGAGTAGAAAAAACAGGGTAATATACAGTTCTATTTAGTTCTTAGAAAAAAGGTTATTCTTAGAACGTTTTGGATATAACTATGGTATATAACGTGAAACAGTATGGTAGGAGGAGATTTTTACATAGTTTCTAGACGGCTCAGTAACAAAACGTACCTGGCGTGAAAGGACACGGCACTGTGAAGATACTGTTCAATTAATTGCTGCAGCCATAGAGCATTTGTTTTTGTGAATAGAGAAGTCAAATGGCAAGTGGACCCATCTGTACATTATTGAAAAAGCAGGTAGAAGATTACAATTGGTGTTAGACCTCACACTCGTCACAACTTAGAGTAGCAAGCTATACATTCTGGTGTTCCTCATGCGTAGGAGGGGCAACCGAAAGTATGCACTGAACTTCATATGGCACATTCTAAAACAGATACTTTTCGATGTTCAGGTGTGTCGAGCTTACTTCAGGTGACCACTTTCAGGTTCAACGATAGATAGTTGAATGTGAGTACATCTGATTGACATAAGTTTCTAAGCAAGGCAGTGCCATCACTAAAACTTACTAGATAAGGTTCGAAGGGATCCCCCAAATCGCCAGGCCAACGAGGTTGCCAACCATCAGTCATTGGTTTCACTACAGGTTTAGTTAACTCGTTCCCCCTCCTTGGAATTTGGCACCCCGCGCAAACTTCTGGAAGCTGCTCCACAATAAGCACATTTTCCAGTAAGAGGGGAACGCTATATCCAATTCATGAGTGCTTTACAATACCAGTGTGTCCGATACTCAACAAGTAGTGTTGGTTTTAAGAAACTTCAGGCCTTCACAACATGGATGGACGTACTTTAATCACGCCTCTCGAACCGAACAAGAGGTTAGATGCATCAAGCGCAGCCCTGTTTCTCTCAGCCTGCAATGGGAAACCATGGTATCGAATCAACAATGGATTCGTTTCATGCAGAAAAGTTATAAAATCGTTTCAAAGGTTAGACAGGCTTTCTAACATCCTCGTTTAGGTGTATGAAAATTCAGCTTCTTCTGGCCGCGGCATTCAAGTCTTGGTGATGATGCGCATTTACAAGTGACACACTCGAGACCGAAGGAAAGAAGATAGAGCTGATAGAAACGAACTGTTTTCTCCGAACGACTGACTACCAACCATAAAATTTTGCATCTCCTCTACCGCCATGATCGATTCAGCAGCTCCGAGCAGGCTTGCGACTTGGTCCTCTGCTCACACACAAGCATCCCGTCTTCATTAAGTCTCTCTTTGTAATAAAGCTCAAGTGGGCAGAAAGGTCACGACTTCGAGCCAGCAGCAAAGGACAAGCACAGCCATCTATATGCCTGCGCTTGTCCTTTGCGAGTAGAGGAGATTCCCAAAAGGATCCCGGGAGCTACAGATAGTCTACATAGCCTTACACATGGCAGGTTTGCAAAGCAGGCTTCAGTCCCGAAGAGCTCTCGTTCACTGACTAGACATGCCCAGCAATTGTCACGAAGGCAAAGCGAGGGATTGAGCAAGTTGTTTCTTTGTCTGAATGTGATGCACAACCGACGAATGCCTTTCCCAAAATGCAATTGATGCTTGTACAGAGGAAGAAATGTTACGATTGCTCTGATATATATCGACGTCAATGTTGTGGAGGAGACTTTGCTCGAGCCGGGCACAATTTTGCACAGCAGTTGAGAGTTCAACGCACACGTTTTTCATGCCTGAAGAGAGCATACAAATTGGATTGCATTAGAGAATGCCCTCTGGTCCGTGTGGGAAAATATTGTATTTTCGGAAGTAAGATCAATCCTAGGCAGAGCTCTCGAATGCTCACGTTTGACTTCATGAGACCACTGGCGGAGCGCTAGACGCAGAGCTCGCACGCAGTTGCTGCGCATATGAATCGGATCTTTCCAGAATGGGCCACATTCTGCAATTGTGAGGCCCAGCTGTTCCATTACTTCCTCCAGTTTGACCAGCTTTTTTCACCGGGGGGAATTCTGTGAATTTAGATTTATTCACTATCTGAATTCACAATGGGAGATTTAATCTGCTGCTGGAAGTACAATGAAATGGACTATTTCTGAAACCGCCAATCAGAGTTTCTCCATATGGGTAGGCTAATTCCTTCTTCGCCAACAAGCATTGAGACCTGTGATTGAACTGGCGCGTTAACTTATAATAGTCATGACAGTTCTCATGTCTTCAACTCTCCGAACCAACGAACCGAAGTGCCTACACGGATCGCTTGCACAGCGTTTTTCCAATCCAGGTCGATAAAGGTACAGAAAATTCTCAAATCAAGCACTGAATCTGTCTACTTATTCTGTTACTGGAGCTGGCATCCATTGCATAACGTGATATACGAGTCAACATGATCAATCAGCAGATAGTTCCTCGAGGAGTAAGCTATGTTCATCGCAATCCAGCGCAATCCAGGATCAATTCTCCATCCCAACCCTAAACCCTTGCAAAAGAAGACGTCGCCCTGGACATGTAAAGGTGGAGATAAACGATTTCTGTGATATCAAACTCTTCCTCACGCGCGCTCGAATACGCTGGGTCGTCGACGGCTTCACAAAGCCTATGGACACAATCCGAATCCTCCCTTAAAAAAATCCGAGTTTGATATTACCACTTCCCCCTCCCATCGCCTCCCCTCCGCTCGCCACTTCCAACTCGCTCCGACTATCGTAATTACAATCCACACACTAGCCCACTCCCAACTTCTAGAGAACCCAATCGCACATGCCAACCTCCGAGAGCGCGAAACCTCCCCTTCCGTCAGAAAATCCACATTCTCCGCGTCTGCGTGTCGCAGAATCGTGCTCTTGACGTGCTAGCCAATAATTCCAGCAGGCTCAGAGAAGGAGCCCAAATATTCGAGCTCTGCACGACGATTCGACAGGCCTCTGCAAATGTCTCCAAGCGCGAAATCGGACTTCGGATCGTCCAATGGAGATTGTGCGTGCGAGCGCGACGGGCCGATGCTTGCCTGCCTGCCGACAGACAGAGGGGGACGAGCGAATGGGAAGATCCGGAGCATCCGGGGCGGCCGAGTCATGGCATCGGGAGCCGTTCGCGGGCCTCGTGAAAACCACCCGACGGGCTGGGCCGGGCCGGGCCGGACGCAGTTGTTGAAGGACTGCGTACGAAGTTTCGGGAGGGAGGCAGTTCCGAACTGCAACTGTCCCACGGCGAACCACGTGCGCCCGCCCTGCCAGAGGTGCTCCGAATGCGTCTCGGTTTTTCTCGTTTCTTTGCGTGTGGTGCGACAAAACCAGCCTCGAGGATTTTCTGGTGTGATTGCCTGTCATACTTTACTTCAAGCACATTTGATTGTATACCATACAACCAGGCATGGTTATATAAGTCGTTCGCTTAAAATATTTAAACTATTTTAATTTAGTCGCTTCAAGAAAATTACTTCAGATAATTTAGGTGCTATTGTGCTAAAAGTCTCCTCGAGTGCAATTGAGAACTAATGGTGTCTAATGGGAGGGAGAGAGTGGTAACGCTTTGTAGTAGTCGGGCTGTCAGGCTCGTGGGCGAGAGAAAATTAAATTTACAACTCAAGATTCCGACCTTGGTGGTATGAGACTGACGTGGTTGAGATCTTCCGATCTCTCGTGCTCAAATTTTCAGCAAATTAGAATCTAGATGCGCTGGTTAATTTAGGCTCGAGAGAGTAGATTTAGGTAATTTAGGTGCCTTGGTATATGGTGGTCAAAAGTAATCATGCCTGCATATAAGTGAATACCTTTTCCCTTTTTTACAGTATACCAATTTCTACTGATGTGCTGCTTCATCTTTTCGTTTTGAAGAAAGTGAACTACCTTCATGTCCTTGAAGTTCCTGTATTTATCTCCACATTTCCAATTAGTCAATTAGAGTTAATTAAAATGCAAACCATAACCTTTTTATAATATATATTAATATATGTTCTAAAAGTTAAAATAAAAAAATTTAATAATACAATCATAAGTATTGATACATTATAGATGAACCAAAACTGTTATCACAACTATTTTTACACTATCATCATACATTTTGATAGACTAAATTCAAAGTATATTAAAACTATATCACAAATCTTATATTCTCTATTTCACACATCAAATTATTAGCTATAATATACCTGTTGTAATCACTATTGTGTATCTTAACAAAATATATATAACTTAAATAATTATCAAAATAATATTTCAATAAATGCAATATTATTATCAAAAATGGTAGTTCAATGGATTTATATATATATATGATAGTAATATTGTATTCATTGAAATATTCTTTATTTTTATGCATAAAAAGTATATGTAAACATAAAACCTAGAAAGTCAATGAAACACTCAACTGAAGTCACCAACACGAGACAAAAAAATAATGTGATTTACCCTCAAGAGTAGTGCTATGTCCACTGGGAAAGATCACTCTGAATAGTATACTGAAAAGTTTGTAGTTAATACACAAACAGTGGGGTATAAATACCCCAGCACTGAAGAACTTCTTAGTTATTTTAAGCTAGGACCTGAAGTTATTCATTAACCAGAGTTAAACCTAACATAAACTATATTAACTATCAATATATTTAAATCACCATTACAGCTCTGCTCACATATAACATGGTTTTTACTTTACGTTCCAAGTGTGTGTGAAAAATCTACCATCACATCTTTATTGCTCATCATTTATATTTCTCATAACACTGGCTTGATTGCAGATTGTGATTTCAAAACATACTCCATTTTCAGTCACTTGCATGTAGCTCTTGCTAGTAATCTTTGTAAAAAGTGTCACTAATCATCCTTTACCTCAAATACCAATTTTAGATATAGATGCGCACAAATAATAGGTATGTCCGAAACTTTAACACAAGAAACAAGAGATACGTGGAGTCATGCTAACTACACAAAACAGAGAAACATTTATTGAAATTTCAAATTATGATAAGTCATAAGTCTAGTGGGTCTAACTAACCATGGTTAGGCTAACTAAAACTAACATACACGTAAGTAAATTTTTAACAAGATGAACTATATAGTGACTTTGTAGATTGTTGGTGTGAATGCATGGTTCTATTTCAATAAGATAAAAAAAATATGAAAAAAATATAATAATGTATATCAACAATTTATAATCTTGGATTTATGATAATCAAAATGATTAGAAGATTCAAAAACACAATTATTTTTTTAGGAAGAATGTATAATGTTGAGTTATCAGCAAGATATGAATATTTGAAGTTAATGTTTTGTGAATAAATACATATATCTTACAGGTACATATTAGAAATTCATTTTCATTTTTCCTGGAAATTTCATAACAATTCAAGATTCATCAATGAAGAAAATTTCTTTTTTATTAAAAAAGAATCAATGGTTAGAAGAAAAAAATAAAAATATGAATGAAATTCTGAAAAAATATATGTCATCTATAAATCACTCTTAAACAAACTGAAGTTCTTCGTTCTAAAACCATATCTTCATTTTTTGTAAACATATCTGTATTAGTAATCATAGCGTTGAGATTGTTGTAAGAATCAATCACCATACTTCATAGCATCCACAAAATTAAATCTATATTGGAGTAATTGTATTAGCATGTCATCTATGTCAAGAATACAGTCTATATAATATATATATATTATAAAATTCTTTCAGAATAATGGGTTTTACTCCGATTGCAAAATGAATTAAAGTTTAAATGCCATTCGTGGATGTATTGGGCTGAAAAGTATGTTGCGCCAGCCTTGGTATCAAACCGCAGAAAATCGAATCGTGCCAACAACTAATAATAAAGAAACAAATTAGAAGGCATTTGTGGTAAGTGAAGACTAAAGTCGCGATGACGACGATCAAAGTCAGCAGCTTCACAATGACGCTTCCTGCGTCCACCACATTAAAGAACGACGTGAGATAGAAGACGCGGTGATCGTCCGATACCGGGTACGCAATTGTGCGCAGTAGGAAGTGGCAGCAGTGGCTCGGACATTGGCGCCAAATTCGACGCTCGGCACTTTGAAGCAGGCGCTCGGCAATTGACGCCCAGCTCCGAATTCGGCACGCTTGATTTGATGGTCGGCCCAACGCCATTGCTATGGATTCTCGAGATCTGAATGTAACTCTCGAGCTGAGTGTCGGCTCTTGCCAGCCAGTGTAGCGTGGATTTTTCTCGAATGATGTGTAGACGAGGAGCATAGTGTCCAATTGTTGTTGGTTTGTGGTCGGTTCGGCCGGTGGATTGGAGGAGGGGCGCATGTGCATGTGCATTTTGCATTTTGCGACTCGTTCTTACCACCGGTACTGATTTGGTCTCTGCTCCTGTTGAGGCGGTTGGGAATGAGTTGTGTAAATTCTTCATGTTTGCTCGGGTTGCCGCAAATTGAGGGAAGGGCGTGGAATCGAGATAGATTTTTAATTCTGCTAGAGACAGAATTCGGAAGTTTGGATGTCTTTCAAATCGTCTTCACACGGTCTTGTACAGATTGACACTTGTTTAGACGATCTCCTGGATACTTTGGATCATTTAATCTTCACAAGTAGCTTATCTGTCAGCATGAGGAAAGCTTCGAAATCGTGGTATCTCTCGGTGGAAACAGAACTGTAGTTGAAGACATGGACTGTTATCAAGTAAAATTTGGAAGCAGATGATTCTAGAGATTGCCAGCATTTCATAGTTGTGTGACAGCGCCGGATCGACGGAAATTCATAACTTAGATTCGCTGTTCTGAAGATCCTGAGTCATGAGTGATGGACTGTGTTGCATTTATGTATTTGCGGCGAGCAAGTGAATCCACTCGGTCAGATTGTCTTCCATTTTTAGGCAAATGGAAAATCATTTTGAGAATGTTTGTACTGGTCCAGGATTGAGGATCAGTGATTCTTCCAGGCAGGTGGATGAATGTCTGCGGGGAGCTCTACAACGGACTCTGGAGCTCTGAATCACAGGTTTCTTGACAGTATGTCGGATACACAATGGTGTCAAATTCATTGTATTGTACCCGCCAACCGTGAGTTGACGGATTTGTATTTGAAAAATCTGCCACTTCCACTTCCACTTACAGCACTGCTCTGGATAGTGGATGATCGGACAAGAATGTGTGGAATTTGCCGATCAGGAAGAAGAGGGGTCGAATTGGAATGCTAAAGGAGCAGAGGAAAGCTCGTTATCTGGATCACGGTTCTGAAAGAGATCATGCCTACCTACAAACTTGGAGGAATCAATGTCCAGTTCCCTTACAATGCGTACGACTGTCAACTGGTTTACATGGAGCGTGTGATCCACGCGCTGCAGCAGGTGCATTTTCTCAAATACTTCGCTGTTATCTGTACTGAAAAGCCTTTATCGTCCATCTGAATGAAGAGCACTTATTGTGAACTAAAGCAGAATCTACAGGACGGTGTGAGGATGAAGTCTACAAAGGTCCCTGGAGTTTTGAAACATATGTACTTTGATCTATGCTGGTCGGTTCGGAATCTTATTCCTCTGGTTGATGTTGATATCCAGGGTTCCAATGCTCTACTAGAGAGTCCAACTGGAACCGGAAAGACATTATGCTTGCTTTGTGCAACGTTAGCATGGCGAGAAAGTCTTTCCCCGGCTGCAGCTGCTACGATCGGGAAGGGTATGTCAACCCAAGACGATTCCTTGACATCCCCAGAGATCAACAGACCGAAACTCCCCACAATATTATATGCTTCCCGTACCCACAGTCAGCTCCAGCAAGTCATCAGGGAACTAAAAGCGACCTCTTACAGGTACTAATAATTCTGAACTTTACCAATAAAGAAAGGGTTTATATTTTTTGTTTCAAATGAAATCAAATCATCCTCCTTCAGAAATCCTGAAGACAGCGAGAGCAAATATTCGTTTTACTAAAAATTGTGTATCGTGACAAATGTTATCTCGTTTCCTAACGTCCTAGTACATCATCATGGGAATGTTGCTCACAAGTCATACTTGACCACCGTTCTATGCACAGGCCAAAAATGATAATTCTTGGTTCAAGAGAGCAAATGTGCATTCACAAGGATGTGCAGCTTATGCGGGGAAGGGCACAAACACAGGCTTGCCGTGCTATTTGCAAAGAAAGATCATGTAACCATCAAAACCGCGTGGCTGGTAAGTAATCACCCTTCTCATTCTCACTAGCAAGAGTTACAGAATATACTTTTGTCCGTACAGTAAGAATCGTATCTGGGGCTCTTCTCAGTGGTTGCTGAGGACGTGGTGACACACGAAAAGTAGCTGAAAGTAAATAATCAGCAATAAAACCATTGCCATCTGAGTTCTAGTTAGTCATTCCTAGAAGGGATGGGATGTAAATGCCGGCCTAAGCTGAACAGGAAGCGTAATTTCACCCGTTTATTATTTAATGCAAAATTTCGGCCACGAGGTCTACTTATATTTTAGAGTAAGTCCATGCAGTTCTGTCAAACTTGATGGGATGTATGAAAGTCTTAAAATTACTTTGATGGCCACTGACCCAGAATTTTTGTGCAGACTACATGAAATCCCATCCTGAACTTGGCCTGGATCCTATTGACATTGAAGATCTGGTGAATATTGGCAAAACACAAGGACCGTAGGTTCCGTACTACACTGTTTGATCACTTGTATTTTGACCTTGGCACCAACTGTTTGTTCGATAATGTTGCAGAGTTTATATTCGTACTGTTTGTAGCTAGTCCAAATACGTTATTTCGTTTTTTCTACAATTAGTTTGTCTTGATATCCCTCTGCATCGGAGTGCAGGTGTCCGTACTATCTCTCACGTGAACTCCACAGCTCGGCAGATATTTTATTCTTACCTTACAACTACCTTATTGATAAGGAAAATCGGAGATCTTTGACTGGTATAAGCTGGGAAAAGACTGTACTTATATTTGATGAAGCGCATAATCTGGTGAGTCCTAAACGACATCGCAAAGACTGATCTTGTCGGATCTGCTGTAAGGGACATGAACATTCAACAGTTGCAGCTAATGAGTTTTTCAATCTAACTGGTCACTTGCTAGAATGGTTTTGAACTCTTACTTACGACCCTATTGCTGACAGAAATGTTTCTTCAGAGCCTCTTGCATTTGTAGCGACTTTAGCTGTACCTTATCATCACCATTTGATTTATTTGAAACGCATCTCCCTCTACTGAAATATGGTTGACTTTACCGCCCGTAGGAAGGTCTCTGTGCAGATGCAGCGTCGTTTGATTTGCCGTCCACACACTTGACAGCCTGCATTGCGGAAGCAAAACAGTGTGTTGATCTCGCAATCTCACACAGAGGTCAAGACAATGCGGCTGACTCCTCAATGGATCCTGACAATTTCGCCGTGCTTAGAGGTACTACCTTCACTCTCCGATGTGCTAGACAAATGGAAAGTGCTCGTTTACCATCAACGTTCTATAGGTCTAGATAGTCGTTTCTTGTCGCTTTTACAACTGGATTGTGCTTGCACATATTGCCACCAGTTCTGCATATGGGGTTATAAGTCGTCCCGGTTGTAGTCCTAGTATAGGTACTTGCTCGAGCTTTGCTGCCTTTTGACTGACTGCTTGTCAGTATGGTCTTGCAGCCCTTCTACTCGAGCTTGAGAAAAGAATCAACGAAGTTACTATTGATTCCAGTGAGCTGGGGTTTACTCGTCCCGGATCGTATATATATGAATTCTTGGCCTCTATGAAGATTAACTGGGAGACAGCGGCTATGCTCATCGACACCATCGAACAGGCAACGAGTCTCCTCGAAGATGGTAACGAGGGAAATCACATGCTCTCCCGAGTGACAGCTGTAGAGAAGACTTTGCAAACACTTGTGTATCTTCACTGCATAAGAGCTTTATACTGGGAGCACATGTACTTCTTTAGCTTCTGCCTTTAATCTGGTAACGGAAATATATGTCTTGAGACCGATTTGAGAGCTGCTGGTGAATAGGAAGAATCTGAGTACCTTCATGATAACTGGGAATGTTTCTTTAACAAACAACAGAGGCTAGCACGGGAGCCAGAGGGCCTGCGAGATCCTCAGGGACAACATACCGACTTCACTCTCTCCGAGATGCTTTACGGCTAATCTTCCGAGGTTCTGAAACTTCTCACTCCAACTGTTACAGGGTAAGTACTGTCCCAGAAGTTGCCGCTGTTAGCTTAAGTGAAGAAAGTTTCTACGTATATCAGTCCTGGATGTTTTCCAACTTCTGAATCACTCCTTCACTCTTGGCGGCGGTGGTGGTCCTCATCCCCAATGTCAAAGGTTGCCTTAAAACAGGAATATCAAACTGCTCCTTCGCCCCTACGTAGGTGACAGGTAAGCTAGCGAGACATTTGGTGTCTGTTGATACAACTTCAGTACCGAAATCAAAGAGTTTGTGTCATCGTCATCCGGTTTATGGAAAACGATCAGTCTCGGCGTTTTAACGTGGTAAAACCTATCGTGACTCTTATGGTATTTTGCAGGTTCATATTCATGAATCGCGCAACAGGGAAGGAGAAAAAAGTGGCCGTAAAGGTAAGTGTTAAGGAAAAGTTGATACTAACTTTATCATAAGTGTATATCATGATCGACTTATCTTGTTAGAAAAGCCTGCCATGTTGATCCAACGTTTTCCTATTCGACAAAGGTGCTGGTGGGAAGGTTGTGCGTACACTGAGTTGGTGGTGTTTCAACCCTGGGATTGCAATGGAGGAGTTTGCCAGAATGGGTGTACGATCAGTGATCTTGACTTCAGGCACACTGGCTCCACTTGATTCTTTCGCTATTGAACTTAATTTGTAAGAGAGTGTCCTCCGCTCAACTATTCAACTCAATTTCGTATTGTCCTTTCTTTTGCCGCATGAAGTAAGCAGTTACTCTGGTTAAGCTTACTCACAGATCTCGGTATAGATGGTGGAAGGAGTTTGGTACAAAGTATGTCCGGACGGAAGTTACAGTTAGTTTTTAAGTCTGCCGATCTTTTGGAATACGTTACCGTCAGATTCTGTCCATAACGAAAACGAACAATTTGTAAGTCGGGGTCTAAGATACTGGACCCCCTAGCCACGACAGACATGAAAGTATTAAACTTTTTTCCAAGTACTTTCCTAATGTGAAAGGCTTGACGACTCTTTGAGTGTTGAAGGCCAAGTTGAAGATTACATGACATGTCTTTCAAGGTACAATATTGCAGATAGATCATTGACGATGTAAGCTACAGTTTTTCAACAGAAAGCTCATCCTCTGGTTACCTCCTGGCAGGCCGTTTAACGTGAGACTTGAGAATCCACATGTGATTGATGGGAGCCAGATCTGGGTAGGAGTGGTACCCTCTGGACCATCAGGCCGTGCATTGAATTCATCGTATAAGACACGAGACTCTCCAGAGTACAAGCAAGATCTGGGAAACACTATAGGTTCGTTGTATCAACAATGTCTTCCGGTGCATAGGCTTCACTTCTGATTTTTGCCATATCTCTTCAAAACCGGGAAGCGCACCTAATAGCCTGTTGGTTTTAGGAGTTGATCTTGTGGTCTCTAGCGAGTAGCATTTTTAAAATAGACCGATGACTAGCTTGAGTTTTCAAGTCACTGATGATAAAGACTTGCCGTGAATGTTAATGAAAAATGCTCTGACTGAAGTGACCGCATTATACCTGTCTTGAATACTTTTCTCTGTTGATCTTTATGCGTTAGAGATGGGTGGTGACCACTTCTTACATGTCGTAATTAAGTGCTGAATCTTCATGTTCTGATGTGCAGTTAATTTCGCACGAATTGTCCCTGATGGGTTGCTTGTATTTTTCCCATCGTACCATCTTCTCAATTCCTGTATTGAGGCCTGGCAATCTCTGGTAAGGTTTTGCCTACACTGTCAATGTTAAGGATAATTAATGACAATGTCATTGAGAAAATTAGGTGGAGATATGAGGTTGGCTTATGTGGTCGACGTTGCGTTTCCCTCAATTATTTCTTGAAAGTATGGACCCTGAATTAGCAACACAAGGTTCCTACAGTAGGCATAAGTTTTCTGCCGAATTTTAGTACGTGAAAGTCAACTTTGAATAGAATGTCAGTTTTGAGATATGCGGTCTCCACTATAGAGTCGAGATCATCCTCCAGAACACACAAATGCACAAACTTGCCATTCCCAACGTTTAATCAGAAAGTGAGCTTCAAATCTTTAAGTGAAAACTGACAAGTGCAGCAACTTGCACAATGTTTCAGCCTCCCGGGGCATCAGTCAGTTCAAGTACTATTTGGGAGAGAATATCGAAATTCAAACAACCAGTGGTGGAGCCAAGAGAATCAGCTCTTTTCAATCAAGCAAACGAGGTACATATAAGAGGGACGTGGGATTGAGAGGAGGACCTGGTTCTGTTGGAGCATTAGATCTAGTGATCAGATTGTGAAGAGCAATCTGTTTGCTGTAATGAAATCATCGGACATAAATTTGTATGATGCTTACTTCCTTGCTTGATGTGCAGAGTTATATAGCCAAGTTGTCTGACACATCATCATCGGGTGCTGTGTTCTTTGCTGTCTGTCGAGGGAAGGTATGTTTAGCTCTCACCATGATCTTGGTTTTAAACTCTTAGACACAGCAGTCATTTCGTTGGTTTTAGTGGGAACTTAAACTTTGGTCATGTGTTGTCACCTTTGCATCCAAACGAGGTGACTGGACTAGCCTGAGTTTGGTAATCCTTTGTTGTGCCCACAACTGCAAAATGCAAACTTTAGATATAATAGATAGAATGAATTAAGAATGACAGACATAAGATAATAGAATGGATTGCGCTCTGACAACCGCAGGCCTCCTCTCCGAAACTACATCTTGGCGTCTGTCCGGCCTATGAGCAGATTTATAGAGACACCTATGAGTGCGATATATAGCAGCTTTTTCTGGAATATCATTACTTACTTTCTTCAAATTCAGAAACTCTATTCCAGTCATGTCTTTATATTCTTATTAATTATTATTAATAATGCCATTAAATGAGTCAGTCTTTCAATTGAACACCAGTTTCATGATCCGTTTTGTCGGGAGTTGCCGTATGCACTTACACTCATGAGGATGCTGTAGGCCTAGTTTGACCAAAGTTGATGTCACATCCAGGTTAGTGAAGGATTAGACTTCGCAGACCAGGCAGGAAGAGCAGTCGTTGTTACAGGAATACCTTACGCAATGAAAACTGATCCCAAGGTAAAATCTTATTTTTCTCCTGTTGTGAATGGCTATCATGAAGGTCAGGCTTCTGTTGTAGTCTCTATAGGAAACTTTGGTTACTGAATCTGTCGCAAAGACTTCATCAACGTGCTTTGTCATATCGTAAAGAGAAGATTTACCCTTAGAAACGCACAACACCTGTAGATCATTTTGCTTTATTAGGCGCGAGTCTGACCACTGATTTCCACTTTTTAGGTTCGTTTGAAGAGAGAGTATCTTGACGAATCTCTTCGGACAAAAACCAGCAATCGCAAGGTAGGTTGAAACTTGACATCGGTCGATAAAATTCAACAGACTCTACTGCACCTTGTTTTGTTGTTCTCAATTTGTCCTTTGGCTCTGTGATATATGATTCCGTATGTGTGCACGTAGTTATAAGCATATCTATGTCTGGTAAACGGATCGTGCTAAGACTTCATGGCTTGTAATTCCTCACAGGGAATCACAGGAGAAGAGTGGTATGTTCAGCAGGCTGCCAGAGCTGTGAATCAAGCCATAGGCCGGGTTATACGTCACCGAAATGATTATGGAGCTATCATCCTTTGTGATGAAAGGTCTTGTTTTTACACTTTGTGTTTAACCTCCGATCTTTGTCTGACCCTTTGCACCGTCCTCATGCATCTTGATTACAATGTTGACATCGCTGTCGAAATCAAAGCTTTCCACCAAATGTATTCGAGACAATTCACTAAACAGGATATAGCTCTAGCCAGTTCAAAAGTTCTGTTCACCAAAAACTCCAGAGAAAATCATGTTATTGATAGGACCAGTATGGACTACTGATTAGTATGTGTCTGTCATATCCTGAAGACCATGTTGGGTGCCGATGTCATTCCACGAAGGGCTCTCAGCTGTGGTGATATATCTAGAAGATTATATAAAAGGTCACAGACAGCAAACTTGTTTGCTGGAACTACAAAGGTCGGATGTGATATTGTTGTTTTTTCTTTTCTCCACAAAATACCAGTCGGAGCTAAGTGACTGGTGCTTTGAATTTGACATCGAATGCAGATTTGGGCAAGGAAACTCTCAGAGTCAAATGTCTCTCTGGTTGAGACCTCATATCAAGGTATGGATCTTCATAGAACACATCAAATCCCAACCACATCAATAATAGGACACTCACGTCGATCTTTATCCAGGATTTCTTAATCAGAATAAGCATGTGACGATTAATCTTCTTTCCTCCACCTTGATCAAGTAGGAAGTGTGTAGTGCCTGAGTGTGTGGTCTTGCTTTGTACCTTGCCGACCTTGCGCAGTGCTACTCAAAGTTTGGAGATGCAGCTTTTACGTTGACAAGGTTTTTCAAGGACAAGGCATCTATTCCGGCTCCAAAGTCTTTGAAGAACGTGCCATTGCCTGGTATGCCGTCTCTTCGTCGTTATAAGATACAGTTTGAACGGGAGTTTACACATCGCTCTCTCATTGAGACGGAAGTGTACTCTTCTTAACTAGTTAGCTTCTTCTTTCAAGGACACTGGAAGTCCTGGTTTGAAAGGTCATAATGCACTTCTTAAGACGTGTCAGACATTCAGCAGTGACATTTGTGATTCTTGTAATGATCGGGACTGCTTTCTACTGCACCTACAACCCCTCTAACTCTTATATATCCTCTTCCCAAATTCGTACTCTTATGTCAAGTGTTATGAAGTTTTTTTTCGTTGATGAGGCGAAGGTACTTATCTTCAGACTTCTCCGTGAAGTCTTTGAGGATCTAATGACGTTGTGATTAGCAGGGGCGACGACACAAGCAGTGCTACACAATTCAGAGAATGATCCAAGTGGACTTCATCGCAACCAGATTGAAATCGGGAGAAATTCTGTATCAGGTTCGGAAAGGCAATATATTCGAGTACAGCATATTTCAAGTAAAACTGCATGGGCAATTCACTCGGTCGAAAAATCAAGAGTCTGTAAATAGCAACTTGCCTTCCGCAAGGTCGTCGAGACCTACTTGCGCTTAAATTGAACTGGTTCAAACCTCTTTGCAGATATCGAACCTACGCGACAACAAACCAACCGCCAAAGCGAAATGATTGCTGACTTCACCCGCAAGTCAACTTCAGCAATGGTAAATAGATCTGTTTGCAATGTCAGCGACCAAATTCAGAAGGCGCCGAGATGATTAGACAGCTCGAACAAGGTGACATGTTGGAGAGAAGGGATTGTCTTATGCTACCACAAAGAATACGATGTCCATGGTTCTGAGGCGTACAGAGTACTAGTGGAAGACTCACGAGTTTGGTGGCATACATATTTTGCAGGCATCGTTGTCAGGAGGTGGAAGACTTGGACGGACTGGGCCTTCTGGAGGTAGCTATACATTGTCAGAGATGTTAGCCGCTAGTCGCGCGAGGACTAACAATCAGACATTGAGCTCTTTATCAATCGTTTCTGCGAATTGTGCAATAGGAAGTACTACGGGGTTCGTCCGTGAAAAGATCAGGGACGGCTTCGAAAGTGCTAGTAGAGCTGTTGAAGTAGCCATACCTGAGAAATTGACCAGTGTGTCATGTCAGATAGCAAGTTCTACTCTAAACAGCAAGAGAAGGCTCACGGAGGAGCCTTTTGAAAAGCCTTGGAGTCTTTGTAAACACATAAAGAGCGAAGTTGAGGTCGCAACACGTGATATAGATAATACAAAGAACTCGGAATGTGGTGGTAGCAGCGTATCAGAGATAAAAAATGTCGAAATGGTGAATACTTCGACCAAAGTTGAAGCAACTGTAACGATACCAGAAGAAATAGCACAACCAGCTTTAGAGTCGTGCAGTAAGCAGGGCGTCTGCTGCGCCGAGCAACTGCCTGCCGTGTCTTCGAAGGACGCTCCAAATACTTCGGGGACGGTCTCTAAGCCTGCAAGGGATGGAAAAACCAAAAATGCAGCTGCATTTCTACAAGAGGTATTGCGCAGTCACTTGGTGCAACAATACAGTGTCATTCAGGTGGTCCTCATAGTGTCAGAGTATTCAGTGTTTGTTTCATTTTTTTGTCTGGGGTTCATACGTCGGAACGGAGGTTGGAGAAAGTAAAGACTCGATCTTCAAACCTAGTGAAGAAAGAATACGATCCATGATCAGTTTGTCTCGGTCAAGGAGTTCAAAGGGTTCATATACATTTCTACCTTCAAGACTTATTGTAAAATGAATTATGGGATGGAACGTGAGGAGCCGTCTTATTCTTTTCGTTCGATCTTTCTTTGTTGTTCCTTCCTCTTTGTGGTTACTGTGACGGGCTGTCTGTTTCCGGTGATTGCATTATGTAAGTCGCTTACGTGTGACTCTCGACTTGTATGGGACCTAAGCTGAAAGGTCCTCTATACTTGTGTTATGAGGGGAAACTGTAGTTAGTTAGTCTGAAATTTGTCTTTTTGCCAACCGACTCGTGCAGGTGAAAGCCCATCTGAGTGTCGTCGAGTACAAACGATTCTTGGAGTGCATGAGGCATCTCAAAGATCAACTTATGAGCATGGCGACCCTGCTTGAAGCTGTGGCTAACTTATTTTCTGCACCAGAACGTCTCTTTCTTCTTCGCAGGTCAGAAAGCAACTCTGGCTTTGACTATGAGCGCTTACTTCAGCTCTCTACAAAGGACAAACTATAATAGGAAGTCATTAATTATTGACCTTAGCTGGTTCTTAGTATGCCATTACGTGCCTTTGAAGTCACTCTAGCGTCCCTCTAAAAATCTAAAAACTCTTATTGTAATCAAGAAGACGTAAAATCTGAAAGTCCACCAAGTCTATTTAACAAAGATGGACAGCCGGATCACCGGAATTAATCTGTTTCCTGCCAATAAACGTTTACCTCTCTCAGATTTGGCGATTTCATACCTACCCAACACCGTCAGCTGTACGAAGAATTTCTAGCGGCGAAATGTGCGGAACTGGGATACGAGTCCGGTAAGACAAAGATGAGCACCCATAATATGTTGTAAGCAATTGTTCTGCTTTTAAGGTGGAAAGTTAAATACTTTTACTTAGAGCAAGTAGATTCATGGATAATTTGACGTTTGCCTGCTGACTCCTCAGTGCTCTGTTTGCCTGGATTGCTCCGATGCTTTCATCTCTTGTGGAAACCTGAAGAAGGCCCGCCTCTAATGAATCTATTATTATTAATGTTATTGTGATTCAGTGGAAACTGTCGGTGTCAAGGCAGAGGGTAGTGCACAAGCGAAAGGAGAGAGTGCTCTGAAGTCTTGTTTGAGCGCCAAAAGTAGGAAAACTCTTGTGAACAAAAAGCAAGGCGATTAAGTTCACAGTACAAATAACGCCTTGCATAAGTTGCCTCCTGGTAAGTCCAATTTAAATTCTTCTGGTCGTTTCCTGCTTTTCCACAGCGAAGTCGAGCCAGTTAGGTGAAAATTTGTCTACTTTATATTTCGGTGGTGCTGTAACTCTCACATTTTCATATATCTATTAAGAAGGCAATCTGAAGGAAATAGATTCTCACCCTGGTGAAAAATATTTAGACACTTATTCCTTGCAGGGCCCTGTATCTCGTGAAATAAGCCTTATGCAAATTTCTCCTTTTCAGATGGATTGCGTGTGATTTACGACATATGGATACTTGGCAGGTCTTTAAAGATCCCAGTGTATTGATACTATCCAGACCATCCAGGCTTTTGACAAGACAACCGTTAAAAGTATCGTGGGTGGGAGGAACCACTATAAGTAAGTTTTGTCAATCTACATCATCAGGACCTTTCTTCGTCATTGAACCTTAAAACTGATTGTATTCATTGGTTAGCATTTCATGAAGACGATAACTGATGATATTGTGTGTATACAGGTCGGAAATCATGAATGGACGACATATACTTAAGCGCAAAGGACAGCTGTTGGCGACTCCCCAGTATTTTCCCTGAGGTTCGATATTAGTGCTCTCCTGACGGCTTCGCGGCAAGGTTCTAAAGGCCTGTTCGTGTCGCACAACGTCATATTGGACTTCACCTGCGAACGAGACTAAGGGTTTTTATCAGTGAAGTCATTCTTCGTAATGGGCTCACATGAGCTCGAGATGTATTTGTAGTAAGACGGGAAGGTTGCAAGTCTTTGAAGTAACCACAATTATATTACTGGCACTCAGACCCCAATATATAAAGCAAAAATTACGGTACTGTATATGAGTGAGAGCTCTTGATGATAAGGAGGAGTGAGGGGGCTGGAATCTTTAGATCAGTCCCCAAATAAATACACCACAAAACTTACTCGGTCCGGATGTAAAAGGGCCTGTCTAGTGTATTAAACGTGAAATTTCTGGAAGTAAGATGTGTAATTTTTCTTTCTGACTGTCCAATTTCCGTCCTTGCACACTAGTGAGAAGACAAAATTTGCCAATGAACTTTCGCTTGTGATCAACTTTGAAACCCCTGTCTTGGCTCTAGATGTCCTAACGCGCTCTAGGGGAGACCTTGGTGACCACCACTTTGGCCTACCCCGATTTATGCAGATGGGAACCCCTATTCATATTTCTTACAATTGTACAATTTTCTCTGAAGAGTGACGAGTTGCATGGTCGTGAGCTACTGCATCATCTTGATCACCAGCCCAGCCCAAAAGGCGATCGGTTGCATGAAGCAGAGAGGTGCCAGACATGCAACCAGGTTGTTTATTCCTCTCCTAAAAAGAGGGGTTGAAGATGTCCGCCACCCAGCGGATTGTGTAGCTCATTGTCTACTGCATGCAGACTTCTCTTGTAGCAAATCTGCGAACGTAATCTCCAGGTCACATCGAGTAGGTGGTTGTAACGCACTATTCGGGCATGCACAGCGGGAGATCAACATTCTTTCTCCTAAGATCCCCCCAGTGAAAATCTCTGGGACCCTCTAACCGAAACAACAGGAACCATGCAGTCCTAGACCTTGTAGTGCGGAACGATCGACGGTAGAGCGTGTGCCTACAGGGTGTGACCAAAGGCAGAGGATGGACTGGACTCATTGTCCTCAAGTGGTGAAATGCTGATCCAGCACAGTGACCACAACGAAAGGAATGCGGGATCCGCATTCCTTTCGTTGTGGTCATTTCGATTCGATCTTAGTCATTGGCACTAAGCTCTGCCTTCCCTCCCTGTCGCGGTGGGCCGCACATGGATCTCTGATGGACAATATCATAGCCCTACAAAGCAAACGCCTGACGATGAAGATATCTGCCCGCAGCCCCTCGTCAAGACCCACAGCTGGAAAGGATTGGATATTCTTCCAGCATACAGTCGCAGTTTCTGCCCTTTCGGCTCTCTTTTTCAATTTCTTCTCAAGGTTCTCCACAGATTCGCTTGCAACTAATTGCAATTCTCTGATCCCTTCGATGCCCAAATCTTTTTCTATCTTGGCTTAAGACCAACTGGTCTCCTTTTTCAATACCTATTTGATAGACTTTGTTGAGTGTGTTCCACCTAGTTGGGCCGATCATCCCAAGCGAGCGATTTGAGACGTGTTTGTTAGCAGAGCGACCGACAAGTGGTGAAATCAGACCAGATTAATTTTGAGTAGTGCTTTTTAGCCTACGCTACGAGGTTCTGCAGTTGAAGAGGCTCTTAAACTTCGTAGGTAGTTATACTAAAAATATATATGTTAGCTGTTCTTTACATGAACCAAGAAAGTAACGGATGAATTGTACAACATCTTTATCATTGAGTGCGAGACTAAACTTGATTAAAAAATCGATAACACATTGAATATATACAGAGCAATTAGTGTAATTAAAGCTACTAGTATTAATCACACATCACAAACTACTTAGCTAGCCGAAGCTAATTTGCAGGGTTGCAACTGGATGATAGCAACTTAACCTTCATCAACCTATGGATGATAGCAGGAGTGATCGTCCAACATTCCCTCTTACTCTAGTGTTGTAAGATTGTCAACAAGTACGAATTAAAGAGCTCTGCAAAAGTGCAAAAACTTGGTATGCTCATCCCTACTTCAAATGTCTAACACTCCCTCTAACTCTAGTGTTGTAAGATTGTCAACACGGAAGAAGTGCAAAAACTTGGCATGCTCCTCTTTACTTCAAACGTCTAACACTCCCTCTAACTCTAGTGTTCTAAGATTGTCAACATGGACAAATCAGAGCTTTGCAGAAGTGCAAAAACTTGGTATGCTACTCCCTACTTCAAACTTGCTCCTACTCAAGGCTGTTATGAGCAGGTCTGCAGGCTGATCGTACTGGATATATAATCTACAGAAATATCACCTGACTCCACCTTTATTTGTTGGCTAATTTAATAACACACTAATTTTGAACATCAATTTTGGTGAGATTTGAAGAATATTATTCAATTTCTTCTAAAAATCTTTGAATTCAAGTTGCTTTCATCGCGCACAAGCTTAAGCCATTATATTCGGATGCGCAATTCATACGAGCAATGTAACTCTGTTTCTTGAAGTTTCATGATATTTGTGGATATTCCAAGGTGAATAAATAGACGCTAATGAAGATGCGTTCATCCAGGTCTCACACTTAGTTGGCATCAAAATATACCTAAGATTGTCATCCTCCTCCTCGACGTAGAAAATGTCATATGAGGAATATCTCTCAAGATAACGTACAATGCATTAAACAACTGCAAGGTGAAGTTCATGGTGTTCATGCATGTACCTACTTGCTTTATTGATTACAAATACAATATTTGATCGCGTATAGGTTAACTACAGTAGCTTTTCAACGAGGCGTTGAGTCCACATGAGGAGTTCTAGTCTTGCGTCAAAGCTGAACACCTTCATTAAGCAAAATTAAACTTGGTTGCCACTCCAAAAAGTAAAACTTGTCCAAAATGACCAAAGTGTAGGACTCTTGATGTAGTAGTAGCCCGCGGGTGTGTTGAAAAAAATTGGCGTCAAGATACTTGCTGATGAGACCAAGGTCAATCATAACAAAGTCCACCATTAGTGATGTGACTAGCTCTTCTAAAATGCGACAATTGCTGCATCTAAAAAAGTGTTCGTCAACATACAAGATTAAAAAAACAATCTTACAAGCTTGATGTTGTATGAATAAATTTGAGTCGGCGTGATTTTGTTCTAGGCCTTTTCCTTGTAACGCTTCATCAATCTGATGGTACCATGCGCGCGGACTATGACAAAAGTCGTATAATGCGCGTTTGAAACAACATTCTTCTTGCTCTCATATGGCTATAACAAACTCTAGAAATTGATGCATATAATTTTTTCTTAAACGATTCCATCTAAAAAGTCTATTTGAATGTCAAGTTGATGTATGAACTAATTAGTATGAGCAACAATATCAGAGATGATGCGAATGTTTTCCCATTTCATCACTGATATTTCTCCGTAATTGATGCCTTGTTGCTTCTCAAAACCGCGAGCAACTAACTGAAACTTGTATTGAGATGGTTGACTAGGGAGCTATGCTTGATTTTTTTAATCCTTCATGCAATAATTGCACGTTTTTCTGAAGGTAAAAATAGCAACTCTCATATGTTATTTTGTAATATGAATGTTTATTCAACTTCCATCGATGTAACCTAATTAGCATCATGACATATGTCATGTAATTGCAAGTTGTCTCCATCATCTACTAGAAGGTCAGTGTCGGTGATGACATCTATTGAAATTGCAGCAATGTAAGGATTTAAATGATGAACAACTTGTTGTAGTCCATTGTTGTTGAATTGACCGAGTATGCAATGTCAAATCTTTCAAACATTTGGCTTATTAATGATGATGATGTTTACTTTAACACACGTGATGATCTTGCTTTGTAGTTTGTACAAGTCTTGACAATCTTAACGAGTGGCACATGCAACAAAATCATAGTTGAATCTTTTTGTGATGAATCTGACTTCTGACATGAATTCAAAGTTGTAGTTCTTATTAGCAATCAATCACATAACAAGAAGATTTTTTTAAATTGTGAGAGAATATAATATCTGTGAAAAAAATTGTATGGGTCCATTTGGCAGTTGGACATTTAAATTGTGAATACCCTAGATGTCATGTCCATAACCACTTGGCAATAGCGGAAATAACACCGTAGCACTTTTGATGTTGGATTAGTGTTAGCATTGATCAATTTTGGATGATGTGGTGTGTGTCAATTGAATCAAGATGCCAATGAAAAATTGCTCATGGGGTTTCTTTCACAATATTCAGCATCACAACAAGAACAAAGTTTGTTCATGTTGACTATGATGTCAATGTGAAGAGTGGATCTAGAAACTCAATAATGTAAGCTTTTACATCATTTGGATTGTAGAGATTGACAAATTCTTCTTTGACAACATCTGAATCTTCATTGTTTTTTTAAGAAAATGAACTTTGTCACATGTTGTTGTTATCAAGACGATACTCCATGTCGCGCATATGATTAACGATGTTTTTGATATCAGATTCTCAGTTGAAATGACCTTCGTATAGACAAAAGTCACAAAAAATGTTTGCTCAATGACGTGAAATTCTAATGGATCGGATGCGCGGCTAATACATTGATGAATCATGTGCATATGGAGTATCAAGACTAAAATTAAAGCCATGAGATGAATAGGAATGGGAGTGATTCCGTCTAGAAATCGGACCACAACCAAAATTATGCCTTAAATTCATAACTTATTATTATTGCCAACATTGGTTTAGTTAGAAATCTTGGTACGCACTCTATCTTGTTGGATTACAATGGTTTTCTTGCACTCTTTTCATTAACCATACTGATAATTATTTTTCACTTAGCAAAATAGATTTCATTTACTCAAATGAAGGAAGTACAAAATTTTCCATTAGCATGTAACGTACAATCTCGTAATGTTTAGAAAGAATTTGAGTGCATAATGCACTATGAGATGATCTAGCAATGCAACATTGACCTCTTCTAATATGTTTGCTATGTTTCTAACCTGAGTTAGATAGACATCCATGCTACTAGCGTCAGTATTCCTCAAAGCAATGAACTTATCTACAAGATAAGCTTTGCAAGGGTCAATCTGAGACTCATATCACGGTTCAAGTAGTAACAGCATGCATAGAGCTCATTTCAAAATATTTTCATTCCAGAATTCTTGGCTTTATATATGAGAATTTCCATAACTCTCAACAATATGTTGGACGATTACTTTTCTGCTATCATCTAGATGTCAATGAAGGTTAGACAGCTATCATCTAGTTGCAGACTTGCAGATCATCCATTAGGTATCTAAGTAGTTTCGATGTGTGCTTCTTATTAGTAGCTTTAATTAGACTACTTATATATATAGCTCTGTATATAATCAGTGTGTTACCAATTGTTTAATCAAGTTTTCTTACTTCCG